ATATATGATAAACAGAGAGATGTATGAAGTGCATGATAAGACAGCGCTCCTTAAAATATAATTTTAGTTACATTCTTATTGATCCCGGTAGGGCAATGAAGGTTGCAACGGCAAACATACATACTTACTTATAACTAAATACATATATAAATACATACACAAATACAAACATAAGTACACAATATCACATCAATACAGAACAACTCCACAAACGTACCACAGACCACCACTGTGCTCCTCCCTTTTTTTTAGTCCAGACAACGCGTCAACTTGTTGCATATGCACGAAAATCGAGATTTTTAAAGTTTGGTTTTTTTAATCAGAGGCACATGCAAAAAATCAGAACAATTTGCCACTTACTTTCGATGTAATGAGATCGACTTGTTGTCCATATGGTGTTGTCCAGACTATAATATGGTGTCGTCAAGACTAGATCTATAGCTAGGATTGTCGTATCTTGCTAAATGACGCACCCCAGTGACCACCAACCAGAACCCCGTGTCAACGTCCTGACAGGCAGGATCGGAAGCCCGTCTCCAAAATAATTTTTTCTTGGCAGGTCTTACCTCTCTAGGCCAACCTCGGCTAAATTGGGTATAGTATCCTCACTGAATGACCGAGATGACCCTACTCGAATAAACAGACATCCCCAATTGGGAGCTGAACTCGTGTCCTTTCCAGGAAACGGCGAATAGTTTAAAAATGACACCATAGGCTTTGGTGGCCTCAGAGAGAGAGAGAGAGAGAGAGAGAGAGAGAGAGAGAGAGAGAGATGGAGGGGGAGGGGGAAAGGGAAGAGGGGGGAGTTCGAAGCTCAGAAGATAATTTAAGATAATTGTCCCAGTGGAAAATTGTCTGTGGCTAGACAGGAATGGAACGACTGTACAACCCGTTGCCACGCACTGAGCAGAGCCGTTCAAGATGCAGCAAATTTGGAACAAAACAGGCTATTCTTAAGCTATTGTGGCGTTTGAGAGAGAGACTCCCACTTACAGGAGAGCTTCACATAGCGTCCGTGAGATAGAGGAATATTTATACGCCTCAAGGCCTCAACCCATTTTCTCGCCTAAGGTACAATATTTCTAAACTATTTGTGAGGCAGCGTAGTGGATTCAGGCTCTCGTCAAAATAATCAAAGTGAAGAAACTTGCATTTTCCTGCAGGTTTGTGAATTTTATCAAATTTTTGTTTTTTGGTTTAGCACCTTTCATACCCATTAAAGAACTCATTTCTGTGTGGATTTTTCTGAGAAAAGTTGATTAAAGGCACAAAAAATGTAAATTTTCGGTTACCACGGACTCTTAAGCTAAGGAAATCCAATCTTTGTCGGCCATTTTCTCACTAATTTTTCCTCTGAAAACAGGTGACCCCCACATCCTTCATTCTCAAATATCTCGACTTGTATTTAAGATAAGCGGATATTTTTTTCATCTAAATAAAGACAAGTGAACAAGCTTTAAGATGGTACCAATAACTCGATGTGCCCAAAAATTGACGAGAGCCTGATTCCACCACGCTGCTTCACATTTTTTCCCTTTTTTGTTGTTGTTAAAGGGAGGGGGTGGAAGAGAAAAAAAGCGGGGGGGGGGTGATACTATTTTGATGCTAGCGATATTCCAGTGTTGTCTGTCCCATCACCACCTGCTCTCTCAGGTCACGATCTGTTCCCCCGACCAACTTGATACACTTGTTGTGGCCAGCCATAAATGCCGACAGTCTACCCCCGTGGAATTCCTTCATTATACCGCGGGCCGTGGCGTATTATTAGAGTACCCACGGGTGCACTAATGCTGTTCTTCATATGAAACTATAGTACCTCACACTGACAACCGCAAAGAAACGGCATAATAAAATAAGCGTTGACACAAAAGTTAAACCAGCTTAGAGATATCGGGAGGTGGGGGATGCTCTTTTCATCCGAGAAAACAGAAGGATTTGAGCGATATCGCCATCTTTTGGTGCGGCTGGAAACGTCATTTTGCCACGCAAAGTGACAATTTATCAGGACTGCGTGACGCCTGCGAGATAGAAAGTTGACGTTCTGCCGACAGACGAAGTGACGAATTGCGAAACAATATAGTGCTGTCATTTTACCTCATGATCTAAAGCCGAGATAAGCTCTTACATTAAGTCCCACTACTGGCGGGTTAAAGGCGATTTAATTCAGCACCTAATCGCATATAAGCTAGTCGGGATCTGCCCTTTTTCCGACAGACTCCGTCTGCACTTTGGCGGATCCTATGACCTGTGCTTTTGTGCTGGAAATTCTGATACCCGAATGATGCAAACGTGACACCGTTGGTGAAATACGGTCTGCAATAACGGCTGCCCAGAGCCAAATTAAGTCTACACCGTTACAAAGCGCAAGAATATGTCATAAAATATCCCTATAATGAATGTCAGCGCAGCGTCGTTTTTTAACTGTGTGCGAAAATATCACCACGAATTTCAGGGTATGACGTGTCTACAGAAAACGTGAGAGACATGAAGTGCATATTCGTCAACTTTGGCGAATAGTAGTCTATCTTTTAAAATGTGCCTGGTCTTTTGCATGCGCGTAGCACTTCGTATTAATCATCAGTGGATTGGGTTGGGTTTTTTGTTTTTGTTATTGTTTTTTAAGTACACTTGGGGGGAAACGAATGACGTTTTATCAGGAATATTTTCGTTTACTTACGGCTAGCATTTTTAGAGTAAAGTCTAAAACGGTTGGAAAAGAATATTCACTTCTGAATACACCTACAACGCCGCAGTTATGTTACTTGTTCAAAATCGATATCTGAAAGAAAACGATAAAAGGCAAGCCCTTCTGCTTCAATTTGACAATTGGAGAATTTAGGTTCTATTCGACAAATCTAACGAATAAACTCTATCGTAAGGAATTTTTCACATTCCATAATTACTACCTGCATCTCTAATGAGAGCCCAGTTTCTATAGCTTAATAGACGGCAAACAAAGTCACCTTTGCTGCGGTGTAGCTTTCGCGCTAAAGCTTTTGACAAAATCTTTATTACTTTCTCCGTTCGTTTGGCATTAAAACCGGGGAAAACACAGGCACATGCGTATCGGCTTGCTTCTCCCCAGGCCAGATTGTGTAGCATTTGTCAGCTTCATGGGGCAATAACTGGGCACCTCTGTATAGAAACAATTAACTGGTGACGTGTGTGCGTGTGTGTGTGTGTGTGTGTGTGT